ACAAAACTTTGCTTTTATTGAGAAAGCTTCAAGCGAGTTTCAAGCAGGGCTTGCAGGATACATTGCTTCTGTTGAGTGAGCTTAAGGCGACTTTCAAGCAGAGCTTGCAGGCGGGCTTTGAGTCCTTTGGAGTAGGGTTTTCTGGCCTGATTTTCAAAACTTTTAAGACTAAAAGTCATCAGGATCAAATTAGGGTTAAATATGTCAAGTTTGTGTAATGTAAAACACATGTCCTAATTCTGATGCAACATACTCAAAGAAGTAGATTTGTGCGAGTAACAAAGTGATGCTGTCATTAATGATGCCTGTCTTCAAGCCGCAACACTCTTGGACACTCACCTAACCTATCAACCCATTACAAGCAAACCCAAGTTCTATGAAGCTTTCTCTGAGCACGTCCCATCTTCTTATTTTTTTGTACATTATTTTCTTATTACATATCTGTGCTCGTCTGTGACAACCTTTTTTGTTCATTTATGGAATTTCCTTTAAAATTAAACTATAAGAGAAGATAATAGAACCTTCAAATCTTGTGCTTCCACCATTCCTGTTGTTCATTTAGTTTTTATGTAATGACAAAAGGATCTTAATCCTTATATTAAATTATTGTATTTGGCTCAGCTGATTGGAGCTGAGATTTTAATGCTTCAAATGAATGAAAATTATCTATATATTTTTAATTTTAATTTTCTATTTTTACATTATTGGTGAAAAAAAAAATGCATGAATTTTGTCTATTGTAGCTGGGTGACTTTTTTTAGAAGTTTTGATTAAAAATTTGGGTCATACTAACGACAGCCTGTAGACTGTGCCAATAAGAAGAAAATGCCAAAGAAGTTAGAATCTCAATACAATTTTTACATATCCCAAAACAAATTTACATATTTTTATACATTTTTTACACATCTACCAACGTTATTGACAGCTGCTGTCATTAGCATTTTCCTAAAACCTCACACGCACAAAATTTCAACTTGACCTTGCTCCTTCAACATTGGATTTGATTCCTATACTTGGTTATAACATTAAAAAAATCTACCTAGGAAAATTTAACATGCTTGTTTTGTGGCTAGCAAATCAATACAACATTCATTTAGTCATTGTTCTTTGAATCCAAGTGTTGGTCCAGCAATGACATTGAACACATCAACATCAAAGCAACTGTCAGTGATGTTCTTAACTAGGTGGGAGACTATGTCAATCCATGTTAATTCACTGGAAAATGGTCTTTATCAAGGAGTCCTTTGCAAGATAAGTAAAAAACCTTGTATTTTTGTAAAAGATCTGGAATTTCTATATCTGTAGGACTGCTAGAAATACACTTATGATTTGAGAAACCAAATACTGAAAATTTTGCATTATTTTCGACTTTATGGAATGAATAAAATTCTCTTTTGAGCATTTCAATGTTGGTGGGGTTTCAGGTAACTATAGTTTTTCTAAGGGATTTGAGACTAAGGAAGGAATGAACATGGGTGAACATACTCATTTTTGTGGGAAAGCAGATGGGGGAGAATCATGGGAGATTGATTCATTTTCTTCGAACTTTGGGTTCTATGCAGGGAACACAGTCCAGGATGGACATGGATGGTCCAAATATCAACAAGAACACCAGTCACAGCTGTTTTCAAATATTGGGATTCTGGATGATTTATATTGTGATATCCTCACCCCACCATTTCAATCATGTCCTGTAGAGATTACAAAGCTTGCCAGCGTCCGCACTGAAAATTTGCTGCTTGATGAATCCAAAAAGGAAAAGCCATGTCCAATTCCTTTGGCCTCGCTTGGTATACTAAGCAACTCTGGCGTGGGTTTAGACGATTGAATAGGGAAAAGATAGAACTGCAAAGCTATGGAACCACAAGCACTAACCCTGTGCCTAAGATGGGTGGCCAAAAATTACCAACTGAAGATATTTTATGTCTGGCTGGAGAAATTTTCATCCTATTCTCTTCCCAAAGGGTTAATGATCTCTCCATGCTAAATCATCCCTTTCCTAGTTCATGCCTTGATCTGTCTAATGATGAGAGTGAGGATGTGGAACTTGTCCAGAATCTTCTAGCATCAGCTGAGAAAGTAGGCCAGCAACAATATGACCGTGCAAGCAAACTCCTCAGCCTATGTGACTTGTCTTCTAATACTGGAAATCCTGTACAAAGAGTAGTTTACTATTTTTCTGAAGCTCTTCGAGAGAAGATTGATCGGGAAACAGGAAGAATCGCGTCAAAGGGTTGGGGAAAGAAGTAGTTGTTAGATCTTGATGAGGCAATGATGAGCCTCAACCCTGTCATCTTTGCATTTTTCAAGTTGTGCCCTTCTTTCAGGTTTTCCTATTCCCTGGAATGCAAGCTATCATAGAAAGTGTAGCAGAAGCAAGCAAGGTCCATTTAATTGACCTTGAAAGGAACGGGGTACAATGTGCAGTCTGGATGCAAGCTCTTGCAGGTCGATCCGAATGCCCCCTTGAGCTTCTCAAGATAACCACTGTTGGAACCAAGTCAAAATCAACAATTGAGGAGACAGGTAAGCAGTTGATGAGTTTTGCCCAGTCCAAAAACTTACCCTTCTCTTTCAATGTCGTTATGGTTTCAGACATGCTAGATCTCAAGGAAGATCTGTTTGACCTAGAGCCAGAGGAAACAGTTGCTATCATTGCAAGATATTCATTAAGGTCCATGCTTGCAAGGCCAGATTGGCTGGAATCTTTGATGAGAGTGATTAGAAATATTAATCCATGTTTATTGGTGGTCACTGAAGTCGAGGCAAACCATAATTCTCCTGTCTTTGTTAATCGTTTCATTGAAGCTCTTTTCTTCTATGGTGCTTTTTTTGACTGTCTGGAAGATTGTATGGACCAGAACGATCCAAACAGGAAGGTGTCAGAATCAATGTACTTTAGTCAGGGATTACAAAATATATTTTCGGCTGAGGGAGAGGAAAGGACAATTCGACATGTGAATATCAGTGTCTGGAGAGCCTTCTTTGCCCGGTTTGGGATGATGGAGGAAGAACTAAGCACGTCATCATTATATCAAGCGAGTATGGTGGTTAAGAATTTTGCTTGTGGGAGTTCTTGCACGTTTGGTATGGATGGGAAATGCCTTATAATTGGTTGGAAGGGAACACCTATTTATTCTCTTTCTGCTTGGAAATTCGTATGAGAGGGATTGAATGAAAGTTTGCTAGTTTTTTGTTTTTTTAATTCTATATGAAGTTCTCAATTGACCTCTACACATCCTGGTTCTAGATATCAGGTCACGTAATGCTAGACAAATAGCAATACTTGGTGTTGATTTGTCATTTTAGATGCCTTCACAACTTTGTTTTTGTACAGAGTACAGTTGCTGTGTGGGTCACTCCTGGGCTGTCTCACATGTGGTGCCATTGATCCAAATTGTACTTTCACAAAGAAGAATGTGAAGGTCTATATGATAACAATCATAAATCTCTGTTGACAAACAAGTTTTTCAGGTTTATGAGTATTTCTTTTAATTTAATTTCTGTAAAAGGTGGTTTATTGTTTTTCTATTTGCATTATTCCTTTGTCTCTCAGTTACACCATCTACCGTACTAATGGACATGCATACTTCAGAAATGTTTGTGTTTCTTTTTTCTATGCGACACATATTCCAAGATGTGGTTACTATCCAAAGGCAAATTTTTTTTACTGAGGCCAAACAATAAATTAATCTATAAATGTTAAATTGTCACTTTGGATATGGTTTCAATATTCTATTTGTAGCAGGGAAAATATATATTTCTGATTGAGTGGTTTGTTTGTCTGTTTTTTTTAGCTAGTAAAATGAGCGAGAAGTTAGGCTTATTCTAATGCATAAATCTTGAGGTTTAGAACTTGTGACTTTGTTTTGTTGACAAAGCTATATACTCTTGACTATTGGGCATTTCTTGTCACTTTTCCGATTAGGTCCACATTATTGGAGGTCTTTCATACTTGATTGGACGCTTGGCACTTAAAAAGGGTGTGCTTGTTAGACTTAAAGCACCCCCTTTTGCATGCCATTTGTTGTATAATTATTTGCTTGAGATAGTATTCTCTACTGCAGTAGGATTTTTTACATCCTTTCTTCCTCAAGTCAGTTTGAGTTTTGGGACTTATACAGTTTATGAGCTGAACAACAGTATAAATAGGACTACTTGTATGACAAAGGCAGCTTAGTTGTCGTTCCATCTGATGTTTGTTCTGGTATATCAATCGGTCTAGTTTTATTTTATTTTATTTATGATATCTAATGTAATCCAGTGGATCGATAATTAAACATTTATTAACAAGAAAGTTATGAGTTTATCATTTAATACAGTAGGTGTTTCCTCAGCCAAGGTTACTGTAAAATGGAAGAAAATGAAGTGCATTTGGTACCTTATTGTTGTTTGCATTTTTATATTCCTTGTCATGCCTGGAGGGAAGGATATGCATATGAGTTTTCTGTAACAACTCTAGTCCTTGGTCTGCTTCCCACTGTTATCAATTGTGATGTGGCATTTAAACTAATTGCATTTTGAGTAATGCTATACATACAGATCTTACAAACTATTCAGACAGTTGACTTGCTCCTATCATGTTAATTTCGTTGGTCTCACTTCAAATACCAAAATTTTATTATTGCATGTCACATCTACAAGCAAGTCTTGTTTGTGAGATTTGTATGATTGTAACTTTGTATATCATTTTCCTTGCATTTTTCTTTCTTTCTGGTCAGTGGTAATTAAAGAAAGAAAAAAGAAGTGGAAAAAAAAAAAATACAGAAATTTATTTCTTAGTAATCAAATTACTTCCTCTGTATCTATGTTTGTTGTTGTGTGAATATTTTTTTGTAAGTTCACCGTTAATTGTTTGATAATTCCAATGGCTAAATGGGTCCATTGGGAATAACAGTTTATCTAAGGCTGAAGGTTGGTTCTTTGATAGTATCGTTTTCTTCTATAGATTCCTGTCTTCAGGTCAATAATCTTGAATAAACTCCTTTCCCATTTGTTACCGAATATTTTAATATGTGCAATTTTGAGTAGTTATGGAATTTCTTTTCAAAATTGACCACAAAAATTATAGGTGGAGCAATGTGAGTGGAGTAGTCTCTTTAGTGGTGGGCTCTACCATCTGATGTATATGGTCATCATTATTTTCTGTAGTTGGTCTTGTGTCCGTAGAATTATTGTTCCAAAAGTATGTCAGCTTGTTTGGGGACTTGAACATCATTATGTATTGGGTTAATACACCAAGACCATCTCAACTATGAACAAATATTACTTTATTCTCCTTGTCAATTCCCTAGTGTTTTTTACTTTATTCTTCCAAATTCACTGGCCGTCGACTCACCTTCATGACATCATACCCAAGTGGGTTTGTTGTGGAATAACAAAACAGACAGTCCAAAGCCAGCTCATTTGTGCCTCTTCTTAGAGCTTCTCAAAGGCAATATCACAAACAACAAACACTACATATTTAAATCCCCTGGTCACTTCCTCTTGTTTTATCTTCTTGTGTATTTAGTCTATCAACGTTTTTTCATTTCTCAGTCCTATCTGTTTTTCATTCTCTTGTTGATTACTTGATAATAGTATTCTGTATGAACCAGTTTGTTTGGTTGCCTAGAAATTGAAGGATAAGAAATCATAATAGAGTTTTTAATTCTTGTAATTCATCATTCATTTGATTTAATGTGCATAGAGTAAAAAAATATCTTACTCCAAAGTCCGTATGTTAAATAATTTTTTTGGGTAAAAGAATAGGATTCAAAACATTTTATGACGGCTCAAGAACGACCAAATTATAGGAGTGTCATAGGTACAAAAGCACATTTGTGGAGGCATCCAAAGAGACAAATCATCTCATAGTCTAATTCCATCACTCTAATATGAATTTCCAAGAAGCAAGAGAAGTAACCGGTGTTCCCTTGCACCCAATAATTAAGCATTTCTCATCCATATCAAACGTGTTAGAACTCCGCCCAGTAAAATCTTTAACCACTAGCTCTAACTTCACTTGATGTAAGGCTGACGTGCTCAGTTCTTGCTCCATCATCCCAAAATGTGCAAAGATTGCCCTCCAGACACTAATACTCGCAGGGTCCTTTGGGCCCACCCTAGGAACGCAAACCTGAAAAACAAGTGACACCCCCTAATCGCATGATCCAGACAAACGGGAGGTGCCTACAAGAGTCAAACCTGGGTTGAGCATGTGGGGAGCAAACCCACCACGTGCTGAGGTGATGGACATGCAGACTTCTGAAATGTGTACTTTTCTTAAGAATGAAGTGACTTACAACATTCCAAGAGAGTTCCATCTAAAAAATGCAAAACTTTCCCAATTTGAAACAATTAGTTTGTCTCTTTCCTCTGTGCTTCGAGTGCATTGCACTTGCATCACTGAATCTTTAGTCAAGATTGGATAAGAAAATTTTAGTGTGAGGCAAAGATTTTCACATTGTAGCAGGCTGAAATGAAGTTTTTGAAAGATGAATTGGTATTCTGCATACCAAATGACCTATGCATTGATAGAGATGACAGCAGTGGTAGATGATCTAGATGCAACTGGACACTCCAAGGGAAGGTAAAGATCCACTCCACCATGGGTTGCTAGCCAACTGGTGCCGAATTTTTTGATCAACTACAAAATTAAAGTACCTATTAGATTTTAGTGTGCGCCTTCTTTTTGATGTTTGCAAAATAGTTGTAATGTCTGGAGGAAGGGTGAAATTTGGGGCAGTGTTATCCGAACTGAATTGAGTCGGATAGTTGAATCATTGAACTTGGAACTAGCCCATTAGATCTGTCTGGTCGCATTCTTACATCATAATTTAAGAACCAACTCATCAAACTGGATGGTTCACATTAAATTGGGTGGTTAATGATTAAATTGTCAAAATGATATAGTTGCCCAGAATATGACTATTATTAGCCAAGATTGGCATTTTTTTGTCTTTCATGACAACATAGAATCAAAAGTTCAGAAATTTTGAAGAATCCCTGAAATTGAGATGAAGGATTATCTTGATTAGGACTAGAAGCTTATTATAGTCTTGCATGAAGCCGCCTTCCAATTCCTTTCTCAGACATATAGACAGCATATATGTTCAAGAGATGAATAGTTTTTGATGGGTATAAAAAATTGCTACATATTGATTACAGATTAGTTCTCAAAATGAGATTTTTCATTAGCTATATATATAAACAGGCCTGGAGTTACTAACCATCACAATTAAAACCACAGTTATCTTCCAAATTCATTGGTCCCCTTCATGCATCAAAACCTAGGTGGGTTTGCTGTAGAACAATGTTTCATATGTCGCCTTCTCAAACAAAAATCACAAGCAACAAACCCTAGGTATTTGAAACCCCTAGGTCACTTCACCTTATCTTTTCTTCTATTATTTAGTTATATTATTCTCAGTCACTTTCTCTGAGCACATACCTTTCTTCTTCTTCTTGTTTGTTTGTTTGTTTGTTTGTTTTTGGTTGAGTTTTATGTACAATATGCTGTTACATGTCTGTGCTCATCTGTGACATGACCTTTCTTGTTCATTTCTTGAATACAAGAAGATAATATAATTTTCAAATCTTGTGCTTCAATCATTCATGATATTGTTATTATTTTTTTTGGTAGGTAAAATAAATGTATAGCCATGCTATTAAGTATTTTGATTTAAGTTCTTTTATTTCAAGAGGTGGAATAGCATAACCTGGTTGAAGCATAATGATCATACGTCTGTAATGCATTGTATGCCCCATAATAAGTCCCATTTGTATTTTGTCCACCCTTTCCTGGAAGTGGATGACTATTTATAGCTATTATTACCTTGACACCAAAGAAGAGTTTGACAAATAGGCCCTTTTGACTCAGTGGTAGAGTAACGCCATGGTAAGGTGTAAGTTTAATTTCATTGAACAAAGGGAAAACAAGAATTTACAAAATATACTTGGTCAGACCCAAGAAACTATCCCAACGCAGCAACATCCACCCCCGAAAACAACTATCCAAGCACTAAGGAAAAGCCAAAACAGAGATAAAAAAGATGACTAAGAGTGATAACTTGTGCATTGCATTCCTGAAATTAGTATTTATGCAATTATAGACCACCCAATGCAGATCATTCCCACACTGCTGAGGATTCCTAGTACCATTTCTATCCAAAATAACTTTCCAGACAAAGGTTGGGTAGGGACACTTAAAAAATAGGTGCTCGTGAGACGCATCCTCTTGGCTGCATAGCACACAGAAAGTATCAACCCCTGTACCCCATTCATTTAGTCTTTATTTTATAGCCAATTTTAGCATAATAATAGCCTTAGTATAAAAGCACACTTCGGAATATTTCAAGGGAACCACATAACATTCCAAACCACCAATTCCTGCTTCTTCCTTACACACTCCCATGCTGATTTAGCAGTGAAACTTCCATTAGGAGAAGGAAGGCAAATAACTTAATCACGTCTACTCAGACTTGGCTTATCCATTTCTAATCAACTCTTGTTTTAAGAGAGTTGCCAATATTCTGACCTTTCATGATGTTAATTTAAATTTAATGTAATGAGAAAATGACTCTCATTCCTCATATTAAATAATTTGTATTTGGATCAGCTGATTGGAGGTTAGTCTAACTTCATTGTTTCGATGAATGAAAGTTATTTGTTTATTTTATTTTATTTTTCTATTTTTGCAATTTCAATTGACAAAAACAATGCATGTATTTTGTCTATTTCTGCTGGCTGATTTTCTTAGGAGATTTTAATTGAAAACTTCTCCGGAAAATTTCTACTTGACCATGGTCCTTCAACATCAGATTGGATTCCTGTTCTTGGTTTTATCATTAAAAAAAAATCTCCAGGCAAATTCAATATTTTTGTTTTGTAGCTAGAAAATCCAAATAATATTCATGCAAGTCATTGAGTGCAGGCCCACAGAAGAGAAATCATCTCTTGCTCCCATCATCCGTAACACTCGCCAAAACCAACAATACCCATTACTACATCGACCTCATCTCTGTCAAGAGGGTGCACCTATTTCTTCTTTGCATGTTGCGTGTTTAGTATCAAGGAGGAGTCCTTCTCAAGAACTGCTAGAGCCTAGAAGTACTCTTTAGAATTGAGAAACCATATTCTGAAATTTCGCATGAGTTTCTACTTTTGAGGCAATGAGTGAAATGTTCTCTCTGGAGCAATTCAATTTTGGTAGGGTTTCAGATAACTATAGTTCTTCTATGGGCTTTGAGAGAGATGAAGGAATGAATGCTGAGGAACATACACATTTGTATGGAGAAGAAGAATGGGGAGGGAAGATGGCCATTGATTCATTTTCTTCTGACCTTGGGTTCTTTGTAGAGAATGCAGCCGAGGATGGACTTCTATTGTCCAGATATCAACAAGAACGTCAACAACAATTGCTTCCATATTTTGGGATTCTGGATGATTTATATCTTGATATTGTCTCCCCGCCGTTTCAATCATGTCATGAAGAGACTGCGAAGCATGCCATTGTCGACACTGAAAACTCGCTGCTTGATGAACCCAAGAAGGAAAAGCCATGTGCAATTCCTTTTGCCTCGCTGGGGATCCTAAAGAACTATTGGAGTGGCTTTAAACGATTGAATCGGGAAAAGGTAGAAGTGCCAAGCTATGGTATTGCATGCACTAAGCCTGAGTCTAAGCTGAGTGGTCGAAAGTTATCAACTATGGATATTTTACGCCTGGCTGGAGAAAAATTCGTCCATTCCTCTTCCCAAACAGTTGATGATCACTCCACGCTAAGCCATCCATTTGGTAATTCTTTCCGTAGTCTCTCTGATGATGAGATTAAAGATATGGAACTTGTCCAGAATCTTCTAGCTTCAGCTGAGAAAGTAGGTCAGCAACAATACGAGCGTGCAGGCAAACTCCTCAGCCAATGTCATGATTTGTCTTCTGATACTGGAAATCCTGTGCAAAGAGCTGTTTACTATTTTTCTGAAGCACTTAGAGAAAGGATTGATCGGGAAACAGGAAGAATCACGTCAAAGGGTTCAGGAAAGAAATTGATGTTAGATCTCAATGAGGCATTGATTTGCCCTAACCTTGCTGCCATTATTGCATTTCACCAAGAGATGCCCTTCTATCAGGTTTGCCAATTCTCTGGAATGCAAGCCATCATAGAACATGTAGGAGAATCAAAAAAGGTCCATTTAATTGACCTTGAAATCAGGAACGGGATACAATGTATAGGCTTGATTCAAGCTCTTGCAGGTCGATCTGAGAGCCCCCTTGAACGTCTAAAGATAACTGCTGTTGGAACAAATTCAAAATCAACAATTGAAGACACAGGTGAGCGGTTGATGAGTTTTGCCCAATCCATGAACTTACCTTTCTCTTTCAATGTAGTTTTGGTTTCTGATATGCTAGATCTCAATGAAGACCTTTTTGACCTAGAGGCTGAGGAAACAGTTGCTGTCAATTCAACATGTTCATTAAGGGCCATGCTTACTAGGCCAGATCGGTTGGAATCTTTGATGAGAGTGCTCAAGAATATTAATCCATGTTTAATGGTGGTCACAGAAGTTGAGGCAAACCATAATTCGCCAATCTTTGTTAACCGTTTCATTGAAGCTCTTTTCTTCTATGGTGCTTTTTTCGATTGCCTGGAAGATTGTATGGATCGGTACAATCCAAATAGAAATATTTCAGAATCAATGTACTTAAGTCAGGCAATACAGAATATAGTTGCAACTGAGGGAGAGGAAAGAATAATCCGGCATGTGAATATCAATGTGTGGAGGGCATTCTTTGCACGGTTTGGGATGGTGGAGGAAGAAATGAGCACATCATCTTTGTATCAAGCGAGTCTGGTGACTAAAAAATTCGCTTGTGGAAGCTCTTGCATGATTGACATGGATGGGAAATGCCTTATCATTGGGTGGAAGGGAACACCGCTTCATTCTCTTTCTGCTTGGAAATTTGTATGAGAGGCATTGAATAAAAGTCTGATAGCTGTTTTTCTTTTTATTTTTTATTTCTGTATGAAGTTCTCGATAGACCTCTTCAGATCCAGATTCTCTATATCTAGTCAAATAATCTAAGAGAAATCCCATTTTTTGGTGTTGATTTGTCATTTTAGATGTCTGCACAACATTTTTTTCTACAGTAGGTTTGAACTTACTTATATTCAAATTTCATACTAGAATGAATGTAATGCGAGGACTTTATACTTCTCCAATTTAGTATATGTTGACTAGTTCATCAACAATTAGAAAGAGACGACTCACGTAGTACAAAAGATTCTGTCAATTGTCTTACTGAAATTCTCTTCATCATGTAACATTTTCGATTACATTGAAAGTTATTTGGATAATGTTTCAGGAACTGAAGGATAGGAGAAGACAATTGAACATGTGAACTCTTCTTTATTCACGCGCGCACACACGGAGATCATAAACTACTAGCATTGTCAGCTGTGTGATTGTTAGGCAATGAAGGCACCAGCAATCCATATATCTTCATGTTCCAGCATTAAGCATATCTTAAAATTACCATATTGATCTTTTGATTATTACTTTTTAACTAATTGCAGCTCCAATGGATCAATGATTGGCTGTGTTTCTTGTGAGAAAAAGGTTGCATTGATGTAATCTATGAAAGGCCATTTTTTTTTTTTTGGTAAACTATCAATAGGTCTTAATAGTTAGGCTTAATTCTCATAAAGTCTTATTGAAAATAAGTCTTGGTAAAATTGTCGCTAAAAATAATTTTTTTGTGACAATTTTTTACATACATCGCTAAAAATTGACAATTAGTGGCTTTTTTTGTCATGACTTTTTTTATGAATTTTTTTTTCTCCTTATTAGAATCTACATGTAAGTATCCGTTTTTTGCCTCCTCTCTTTTTAAGCTCCTTCAGATAAATTGACTAAATAGTTGACCTTATCATGCTTCCATTTGTCTTCCCTGTAACAAATGTTGCTCTGTAAAATTTCTTTGTTATTATCGTCAAGTGAATATATCTATTGCTCGTAATTTCTTTGTTATATCATATATTTCTTCTTTATTGCTTTCCTTAAACTTTAGTGCTTTAACTTGTATATATCGTAGAATTCCGATGTAGTTTCCCAAAATGTTTATATTTGGTTGTCTTTCACATCTGTTTGCACTTTGCGTTGACTTTAATTGAGGCACAAATAGAAGACTTTAAAATTTTGGCCCCTTCTTGCATGGCATGACCGCCTTATCTTCATTTCACGGTTGGAGTCTTTTGTTCATTTGCTATACGCTTAGTTTGGTTTAATTTGGTTATAAATTTTCATTTGACTAGGTGGTTCTTCCAAAGGTGGTAGACTAACCGAGCAGGCATAGCAGCAAGAGAACCAGAGGAACAGCTCCGGTTATCTCTGAGCAGACAATTAGAGATCAAATATGGATTCTCGTCTTTCAGAGACCACAAAGCAATGCAAAGTCCCAACCAGAGACTCAGACCTTGTCGAAGAGGAAGAGAAAAGCCCAAATCAATTGTCTTTGGCATCATTACACCTCTTAAACAAGTATGGAAGGGGAACGAAGCGTTTGAATCGGGAAAAGCCACATGAACTAGGCTGTGGTGCAACACATGTTACAACCAGTGGCCAACAATTGTCAACTATAGAAGTCATGAAGCTAGCAAGAGAACACCTCCCAAAATTTATCCGCTACAGCTCCCAAAGCTCCTTTCAATCTCTCTGATGAGGATACAAAAAATTTGGAACTTCTCCAATTTTTTCTAGCTTCTGCTGAGAAAGTTGGAAACCAGAAGTTTGATTGGGCAGCGAAATTGCTCAGCATGTGCAATGGTTACCGGTAATCCAGTTGAGAGAATTGTTTGTTATTTTGCTGAAGCTCTTCGAGAGAGGATCAACCATGAAACAGGGAAAACTTCAAGAGATGGACAGGAAGGCTGCAAAACCGAGCGGCAATTGTGTGTCGAAGAGGCTGCAAAGGACCTCCAACCTGCTGTATTGGCATGGCAACAGGAACTTCCCTTTGTTCAAGGTGCCGAATTCACTGGAATCCAAGCCATCCTGGACGGTGTGGCGTCTGCAAAAAGGGTCCATTTCATTCATTTTGGAATCAGGAGTGGGATTAATGACACACTCTTGATGCAAGCTCTTGCTGTTCGACATGAATGCCCTCTTGAGCTTCTTAAGATAACCGCTGTTGCAACAACCTCAGAACAGGCACTTGAGTAGACAGGTAAGAGGTTGTTGTCTTTTGCCGACACAATTGACTTACCCTTTTCATTCAAAGCAGTCATGGTGTCAAACATTGACGATCTCAAGGAAGATGTGTTTGAGGTAGAGGCCGGCGAAGCCATTGCTGTCTACTGCCCATGGTTCTTGAGGACCATGACGTCACAGCCTCATCGCTTGGAAGCTCTAATGAGAGTGATTAGAAACCGCTTTCCATGTGTAATGGTGGTCACTGAAATAGAGGCAAATTCAGATGCACCGACATTCATGGACCGGATTATGGAAGCTCTCTTCTTTTATGGTTCAGTGTTTGATTGTTTTGAGGCTTGCATTGACCCGTGCAATCCAAATAGGATTACAATTGAAGCCATGTATATGAGGTATGCGATTCGTAGCATTGTCATTAGTGAGGGTGAGGAGAGGACAACCAGGCACATGAAGGTTGACGCTTGGACAGACTTATTTGCCAGGTTTAAAATGGTTGAAACAGAGCTGAGCAGTTCATGTTTGTATCAGGCAAAACTGATGGCTAGGAAGTTTGGTTGTGAAAGTTGCTGCACAATTGATATGAATGGGAAGTGCCTACTTATTGGGTGGAAGGGAACACCAATTTCTTCTGTCTCTGCTTGGTATTTCCTCCAAGAGCTATGAAGAAACATTATGGTTGCCTTTGGTTTAGTTTTGGAATTATAAGTTGAGCGTGGAATTGTGAGTTAAGGTTTGAAAATACAAAATTTGGTGGTTATGAATTTTGAAAAGTGTTTTGAAAGAAGTTTTGAAAGAAGTTTTGAATTTTGAATTTTGAAAAGATCGGATTAGGTCTATCCGGTCGTTTGTCCAACATCCTCCCAGACGTCCGCCGGTTGACCGGAACAGTACTATTTTTATTTTATTTTATTTTATTTGTAATTGCAACCTGTTATTTGAAAAAAAAAAATTAAAAATTTTTTATATATTTTTTTAATATAGAAATTATTTTTTTTAGATTTTTTATAAAAATAATTTAACAATCTCATCATTAACCATCTTCAGTACTATATCATCAAAACAAACATCGTTTCACCTAATCTTCTCACTAACAATTCACATATTAATAATCTTTTCACTAACCATCCCATCACTAACAATTTCATCCAATCTAATCTGTCAAACAAACATGGCCATAACTCAAAACTCAATTCAAAAATTATTTTCAAAACCCATAACCAAACACATAATTCGAAACTCTACACTACTTTCAAAACTTTATACTCAAATCGTAACTAAATACATAAAAAAAAATTAAAATATTTAAAAATATTTTTATAAAATAAAATAAAATATTTAAAATAAAAATTATATATTTAAAATAAAAAATATTTTTTTTTCAATTTTTTAATATTTAAAAAAATACAACACAAAATGTATGAAATATAGTACACATTAAAATAAATAAATAAACATTTAAAGTATAAAATATTTATCCTAAAAATATTTCAACAAAGAACCTAACATAAAGGAGGACAACTGCAACAAAGAACCTCGAGATAAGAATCCCGGAGAGAGAGACGTTGGCTAAGAAGGAGACATATTGAAGAAAGCATGTCAGGGCGAGTATTACAACGAAATTGACCTCCAAGTATGGAAAGATAGATGCCTAAGGAGGGACGGCGAGATGAAGGAAATGACAAACAAATTGGCAGACCTACAATCGATCGTCAATTTCATGATGCAAAACAACGTCATGCAGCCACCATTCCCATTGGAGGACACGTCAATTCCAGCGACCAAGAACGATGCCCAGAAAGGGAGACAAAAAGCAATCCCCACAGTCTTCCAGCCTGACAGGGCGAGAGAGCATTCCCATTGGCCTTCACGGGTGGTCGGGCAAGGGGAATCGATTAGAGGAGATTCTTAGAGGACACATTGTGCCAAAGAACCCTATACCAAAGAACATCGGCATGTTCAAGGAAAGAAGATTTGCTTTGACACAACAAATGGAGGGAGGTCCAAGAGGACTCATAATGACACCGGGAGCAACACACCAAAAAGGCTGAAATTCGTTGATAGCCGAGCTCCTAGACGGACTAAGGAGGATTTAAGGGACTACCTCCAGAGAAAGCGACAGGATGCCGAGGTAACATCTTCAGTCAAGCCGAGAATACCGTTCTCAATGGAATTGGACAAGTTTGAGGCCCCGAAAAGGTTCCACATGCCGAGATTCTAGATATATGACGGTAAGTCTGATCCTAATTTTCACTTCGGCTTGTATTTAAACTCAATGGCACTGTATACCGAGAACGAGCCGTTGATGTTTGTGGCCAGGTTTGTCACAAACAACTGCAGCCGTTAAAGGTAGACTCCCTGATGGCTTTGAGAATTGGCGAGGATGAAAGCCTCAGGGCTTATGCCAAGAGGTATTATGAGGTGTTTAACCGAATCCCAGGATACAACCAAGAGTTGGCGGTCGTATCTTTCAAGAACGGCCTGAACGATAACTGACTGCTTTAAAAGTCATTAGCAAAGACATTGCCAAAAAGTATAGAAGAACTTATGGCCAGGATCGAGAAATAGGTGAGAGCAGAGGAAGACACGCCAGGGACAAAGGCGTCAAAGCAAGAGAAGATGAATGGCTCGCTGAAGCGAGGTCGAGGTAACACAAATTTTAATAGACAAGAAACGGGACTGAGGGCTGCACAGACAGTTACCACAGTGTTCCGGATCCCGGTTTACAAAGTCCTGGAAAGAATCAGGAATCAGCCTTACTATAGAGCACCAGAGAAGATCCCTGGCGAATTTATGAAAAAAAAAATCTAGGGAAGCATTGTGCCTACCACAATGAGGATAGGCACTTGACTCAGGGCTACAAAGCCCTAAAGACATATTTGGAAGACCTTGTGAGACAAGGTCACTTAAGGGACCTAGTAGATGAGGCCAGAACGAGGGAAGAACATGTAAGGCTGCCTCAGGCACTGGCAACACTAACTCCACCAGCACCATAACCACCTGTAGACGGACCTCGAGTGATCAATGCAATTCACTCAAAGGTCAATAAGAACGAGGTACGTGGGGAGACTTAGAGGGTGAGACACTTACAACATGTGTATCAGGTCCAGCAAAAAAGGCCTAGGGTAGGCAAGTGCCAGGGACCAATGGTGTCCTTTACTGAAGCCGACCTAGACATGGTGCAGCATCCACACAACGATGCTCTGGTGATATCCTTGAAAATTGGAGAATGCCAGGTGAAGCGCATTCTAGTTGATCAAGTGTAATAACCCCGATCCACAATTAGACACTAATCGGTAATTAAGGATGTTAATGAGAGGATTAAAATAAATTATGTGTTTATTATGTATTTTGCTTGATATTTGGCTTTCTATCTGTTACTTGTAGAAATATCTGTTTGGAATTCCGCTTTAATGTGTAAATTGAAAGTCTTATCGGCATCTGAATTCGGAATTATTTACGTTAATGTGTTATTTAGAATTTTTAGAACCTTTTGGCAAGTTTTATTAAAAATTGGTTTAGAACGATTCATTAAGTTGCATTTGGCAAGCCTTATGTTTTAATTAATGTATTTTAGCCTCATAACTATATATGCATCGCATTTAGCTCATTTGAGCTCATTTCTTTTATTTCCCCCTTAGTGCAAAAATCTGAGAGTTTGTTTTAGAGAGAGAGAGAGTGCAATTCTAGAGAGAGAAAAGTAGAGATTAAAGAGAAATTGAAAGCTATAGCTTGAATTGATCAAAGATTGTGCAAATATCTAGCTATTGAAGACTCTAGGTAAGATTACAACCTCTAGATTGTGTAACTAAGTCATTTAACATGAAATTTCTTCAAGATTATGAGTTTGAATGTGTACATTGAGCTTAGAATAAAGATTTGAGTTGCAATTCATGCATGCATGTGCATTTTCTCACAAATTGAGCATGAACTCCAAGAATTCTCTCATGCATGTTTGAAATTCATCTTAATTACGGGAAATCTTCAAGTTTCAAGTTGTTTTGTGGTGTTTGATCATGTTTTGAGAAGTTTGATACAAGAAAAAAAATCCATGCATATTGTGTTCATAAACATTCTTGAAGTTTAAGTTGAAATTGGGAACTTTTGGCAAACCCTTGGGCCATGATTTTATGAAATGATCCTAAATTCTTCATGTTTTACAAGTTTACTTTGTTATCTCAAGTTTTGGGGCCCAAGATATTTGTTTTGGATGGTGGAATTCGAGTTTTGAACTTGGGAGGTCAATTTGGATTTTTCAGAAATTTGACCCACACTCGAGCGGGGACTTTCACGCTCGAGCGTGAACCCTGAATATATGCACCACGCTCGAGCGTGGGTTGAGCGCCCATTAAGCATGAAAACCTTGCATCCAGTACTTTTTGAGTTTACAGTCCGCTCGAGCGGGAAAAGCCACGCTCGAGCAGAGCCTTCATTGTCTGCATGTCCGCTCGAGCGGGGAAAGCCATGCTCGAGCGTAGACCTCATTTTCAGAAAATTTACTAAGTGTTCCAATTTATGTTTTGGCATCCTCATTGCATCTTAGGCATTCCTAAGACCTAATTAAGCTTTGATAATGAGGTTATGGATTAGAAACACACTAAGTGAAGAATGTACTAAGTTATGAGATTCAAGAGTGTGTTTTGAGCAATGTGTTAAGCAAGAAACCTATGTAATAAGAAAGTTAAGCTGTGTTGGCCATGTGAATGTGTAATAATGAGATATGTTATATTATGTACCTTTGTGTTTGTAGGTCAACGTCTGAAAATTGATTAACCGTTTACGAGAACCACTGTGAGTAACGTTATCGTAAAGATACGTTCATATGAATTATGTTCCAAATGAAATATGCTAAGCTATGATTTCTGAAATGTTATCTGTTTACGTGAACGAACATTCCAAGTTTGAAATCTATTGTGGCATCCATAGATAGTCCCAAGTCATGGGGGACGGCATGAAAATGCGGGTCCATGACATACAAGTAATTACGAGATCTCGTTAGCCACTTCATTGTGGTGATATGTGTTTAATCGGTATCCGGAACCGATTACTCTAGTCGGAAGACGTTCTGTGATGTGTTCTATGGGATGTACTATTATTATGTTCTGATATGAGAATGATTATGCTATGATCTGTTTCCGCTTATGATATGTTCGGATTTCGTTCACTAACCCTTCACCTTAATGTTATTCATTGGGATTTAGCTCACTGTTTGTATTTATTTATATATATATATGTGAGCATTATGGAGTTCGAGTCTGAAGGTTATTGTCTGGATCTGTGTTCCGTTGTCAGCCAACCATTGTGCCTCACGTGGAGGTTCTCGAAGCGTCTTGTGTTTAAGTTTTGTGGTTTCTGTTTATATAAGACTTGATTTGATGTCGTTGGTTGTACTTAAAATACTGTAATGTGTGTGGGTATAATGTATGGTTGACTACCAGTTATGTATATAAAGTTTTAAATATTCTGTTTCATATAAGTCAGCACAGCTCATTAGACAACTATATTTATGTATTTGTTTCCGCTAGCCCCTTAATCTTGTTAATCTGTTCAGAGGCCTTCGGTAATCCAAGGATTATTGGCCGGTTACGATGCTAAACCTATAGGGGCGGGTTTGGGTCGTGACACCAAGGCAGCTCTTGTGACATCATGTATGTAAGGAGCTGGGC